CATCTCATTTCATCTCATCTCATCTCATCTCACCTCATCTCATCTCATCTCTTCTCATCTCATCTCATCTGGACTGGATGAAATCTTGTGAAATCTTTTTCTTCGTGCATAATGAAGAGTTTTTTAGGTCGATCGTACCAAATGATGACTGCTGATTTCCGTTGTTTTGCAAACTTTTGGATGTAATACATCTTTCCGGTTGACGCAGCACACAAGACATCTGTTCCACATGACGAAATTCATCTGTGTTGGTACTAATTATTGGAAAGAGGTTAGGTTAATACATGGTCGTAGTCAGGCAATCTTGATCTGGTGATAACTTGGGACTTTTGTCAAGAATTAGTTAAAATTCCGATGTTGTCCATCAAAGCCCATCCAGTAAATGAATAATTCCACGATAATTTTTCATTACAATCGGAGAAACTTAAGATGAGTAGGCATAGTACAGTTTAGTATAGCTTATTATGCCTATTCAAAAATTGCCTCGTCTCTCGGAACCTATTTCATTGTATTGTTCGTATGTAATTAGAGTTTCGAGACTACCAGTAAATCAGTAGTATGAGATGTATTCAACCTTTTTCGTTTAGGATGATGAAGGACTGGTAATATAATTTTCCATTTAATTTTACATCGCATTAATTTCCTAAACGTTGTTCTCATTCATCGACAATCCCACCAAAGAATGTGATATGAACATTTCCTTGCTTGAAATTCACATCTGTCCTGTGACACAAGGGCACTCGTGGCAATGTGGCCGAGTGGTTAACGTGTCAAGTTTCCATTCTTTACTGTCACGGTTCGACTCCCGCCTGGAGGTGTTGCTAAGACCGATGCGAGGTCGAAACTGCAGTCCACTCTGGCCGGTTCGACGACAACTTTCGGGAAGGCAAGACTATATGAAATGCAATGGAAACGTCAGCTCTGCTCATATCATTGTATGATAATTCTTACCTTAAACGAAATTGTGTGAATGCATCTCATATTATTTAATTTCAATTCAAGTACTTTGGTACATTTTAAAGACAGACTACCATTTGGAGCTGTACTACAGTTTGGCTCTCGCCTGAATTGATCTCATCAGCAGCCCCAGCCGGATCGGAGCCAGACTGTCGTGAATGTCGTGCAAATCCGTGCCTCTTCCGAATCCCACTTTCAGTTTCACCTCTCACGAGCGTGTTCCTGACGCGTGTAGAACAGCCTCGGTGCTGCGGAACTCTTGCCTCGGCTCAACCGACACTCGGTCAGGCAGTCAGACGAGTCCCATCCAGTCTTTGCCGCCGCCCACACAGCCAGCCAGAGTGTGAATGTGCGCCGGTTCGAGCCCGAGGCTGCTGAGTCTGTGGCCGGTTTGCACGAATCAAACCATCTTCGACATGAGGACTGGCAAACCGAATGTGCATTTTCCTCTTTTGACCGTGTGCACGTCAGTCGCCTACGCATGAGTCGTCGTTGTTGTGACACCGCCGTGCACCCACACAACCCCCTCCCTCTACCCCCCCTCCCAGTCGCCCCCTCCCGCGGGGGGGTTGTCCACACCATCAAAGTGTGTACCAAGTGTGAGACCGGTCGCGTCTACATGCACTCCCGGGAGATGTCGACGGCTCCCTCACCCTCTTTGCCCCCCCCCCCCCCCCC